ACGACTTCCAAAAACATAGTTCTCCTTATGGAAAGCAAATCTGCAACTTGGATGTATTGGCAATAACATGTTGACAATGTTTTCTTTCGTGTGTTCCATCTGTCTCGTTGCTTGAGAAAAAATATACGTTTATGCCTAAATGTTTGTGACAACGGCCAATGCATGTCCTATGTGACAGCCTTAAAACCCGTTTTTTCTTTAAATCAACGTAAAGTTTTTGACTCACGTCCAGTTTTCACGAAATGTCTACTTTTCACGAAGTGCATGTTCCTGGCACTTTGCGCACTTGTTGCTTGCTGCCATGTTGAGCTTGTGTGCCTCGCTTGTCTGCTGCCTTACCACCCATCCGCATGTGGTGCCTTCCGTGCCCTGCAGTCGTATTTGGTGATATGACAATCTGCCTTCAACATCGATCAAAGAGTTCATGATTCATGACCCAAACCATCACATGGGGGTGCCGCACCGCAGATTGTCGGGGATGAGGTCTCCTTGATGAGTCCGAGTCGGTGCAAGTACGATGAAACAACCAGTTACAATCTATCATCATCAGCTGATTCAGCTCTATTTATTTCTATTTTTTTTTCCAGTCGTTGCACTTTCTTGAGTGAGTGCTTGTTTGGTGTGGCACCGCTTGCAGGTCGTCTGCCCTCGCTCCTCTCCCGTGCCCTCCATGCTAGTGTTTGTCTCACTGCTTTTGCTTTGATGCTTTGATGCCTGCTTCAACTTCGCATCTTTTTGAGATTTTTTGTGGGAAACAAGTCAATGCCCACTGTGGCTCCGAGCGTGGTGGAGACCTGTTCCTCGTCCTCCTCCTCGTCCTCCTCCTCCTCCTCCCCCTTGTTCCTTTGCGCTGTCTGGCATCTCCCATCTCCTCTCTCTGCCGTGCTCGCGCATTTGCCCCGGGCCCCCTCCTGTGCTGCGTGCTCCCCCTGCCTATGTAACACCCGCGGACGCGTCCGCGGGTCCAATCTCGGATGGCGGACGCAGACGGGTCCGCATCCGTGGCCTACCTGGTCCGCACCGTGGACCCGATTTTACCAGAATTTTCCTGAATTAAATAATAGGTTAAAAAAAACAAAACAAATATGGGGTTGTAGGGAATTTTAAACCCTACAACCCCTTTTTTTTTTTTTTGGAATCCGACTTTGTTTCGGATTTTTTAAAAATCAAAAACTAAATTCGATTTTAAAAAMATTAAAAAATATATATAYATAAAGAAAAGTTGGATTTTTTTTTGGTCATTTTTATCATCAGATATATGGTCCCTGAGTTCACCTGTATTTTTTAGAAATGAATTTCTGTTTTTTGCAGGGATATGAGATGTTTTAGAAAAATAAAGATACAAAATTTAAAAATAAATAAACAAAAAACTTGAAAAAAAAAAAGGTTCGATTGATTGATTGATTGATTGATTGAATGATTGTGAGTGTGTGTGTGTGTGTGTGTGTGTGTGTGAGAGAGAGAGAGAGAGAGAGGGAGCTGCGTGGGCCCTGGGGAGCTGCGCGGCGCGGGCAGCTGCGCGCGCGAGAGAGAGAGAGAGAGGTGTGTGTGTGTGTGTGTGTGTGTGTGTGTGTGTGCGCGCGCGCGCCACGCGGGCGCGCGGGGAGCTGCGCGTGCGCCGCGCACACGCGAGAGAGAGAGAGAGAGAGAGAGAGAGAGAGAGAGAGAGAGAGAACACCTATATGTGTGTGTGTGTGTGTGTGTGTGTGTGTGTGTGTGTGCGCGCGCGCTGCCCCCGCTGCGCCAGCTGGTGTGTGTGTGTGTGTGTGTGTGTGCGTGCGCCCATGGTCGTGGGGGTGGGGCGACCCCTCCCCCACCAA